GTGGGTGCCCGGGTGCCCCTGCCGGGGGGCTGAGGGTCTGTCTCCCAGCCGCAGTGTCCGCCCCTCAAACACCAGTCCGGTGTGAGAGCAGAGTCCTGGGGGCAGGACAGCCCCCCCAGCCGGTGACAGGAGCACGGCAGTGTCCCCAAGAGCGGCACAGGGCAGCCAGAACACCCTTCGCCATGCCAGAGCCCACTGTCCCCATAACGCCGTGAGAAGTGGCACCTTGGGGGCCTCGATGGCCGTGTAGGTGGCTCCGGGGGGCACCTGGTAGCCCTCTGTGTAGAGCTTGAAGTGATGGATGAGGGACTCCATGGAGGTCTGTGGAGAGAGGAGGGCACCGTCACCGCGGGCGCGCCGCCCGGCGCAGGCAGAAAACGCCGCCCATCTCCCGCCCGCGCCTCGGCGGCTGGTGACAGGGAACAAAGCGTGGGAACCAGGGTGGTGGCCGCGTTCACACACTATAAGGAGCACGTGGGGCGACGAGGCAGGGCACCGCCGGGTCTCCTCCCTGCCAGCCTCTGCTCTGCCAGCCCCGGCCTTCCCCAGGGCGGCTCTTTGGCCAAACCGGGGCTGGCAGAGCCGGGGCAGGGAGATCCCCTCCCACGCAGGGCTCGGGAGCAGCAAACCCCCGCGGGCACAGCGCCGCCCGCCCACGCGCTGCCCGACCTGGCAGGGGCGGCACACAGGGGTCCAGGCAGTCCCCAGCCAAGCCGGGGGAGAGATGTGGCGGCAGATAACTCCAGCAAAATCCTCAGCACGAGCGTCTAACACACCAAACCGTGTTTCCTGCTCGCCGGTGCTGACACACAGTTGGCAGCGAGACCCGGTGAGGGAAAGAAGGGTTTACCTTCATCTCTGCCCGCTTCGGAGGGGAGATTTTGGCATCGTCCACTTTGATCTCCCCCTCAGGCATCTTGTTGAGGCACTGAAGGATGATACGGAGGGACTGTCTCATCTCTTCCACACGGCACAGGTACCTGCGGGACGCCCACGCTGCTCAGGACCCGTGTCCTGCATGGTGGGCACCCCACGGGGCAGCCACGGCCTCACCGCAGGCCCACGGAGGAGGTGTGACTCTGCCGAGGCGCCCCGTGGCCCCCGGCACGCGGCGTACCTGTCGTAGCAGTCGCCCCGGGAGCCGATGGGGACGTCGAACTCCACCTGGTCGTAGACGTCGTAGGGCTGAGTCTTGCGCAGATCCCAGTGGATCCCCGAGCCCCGGAGCATCACCCCGCTGGGCAGAGGGAGGCGGGTGAGCAGCCCCATGGGGGGGGCTCAGCCCCACACCAGCCCCGAGCTCCCCCCACGCCCCAGAGAGGACCCCGACACAGGGGACAGCGGCCACGTGTCCCCCGCCTGCGCACACCCCACAGCCCCGAGCAGCTGCCACGGGAGGACGGCTTGGGGACATCAGGTGGGTAAAGCCAGGCAGGACACGGCGTCACAGCTGCTGCCACCGGGTGTCACGAGTCCCCAAGAGGGCTCCGATCAGGGGAGCAACACAGCTGGGCAGTGGCATGAGGCTGAGCCCCCGCAGGAGCCACCCGACTCACCTGAACCCGTAGTTGAGAGCCTCTTCTGCCGTTATCACCCCGATGTCGACTGTGCGGTTCTTCCAGATGCGGTTGTTCGTCAGCATCTGCGGGTAGCTGGGTGTTAGTCACCCGGGTCCCTCTCCCCGACTGTGCACCCCCTTTCCTGACACGTGTCACCTTCTCACCACTGCCAGAGGAGGAATAACCCAGCGCTGGCCATGCCCAGGGGCCAGGCAACGCGAGAGCCCCAGCCCTCAGAGTGCTGGGAAGTGGGGACTGTCCCTCTCTCCCAGGTTTTGGGCTGAATCCCGGCTCCCATCTGGCCTCACCTCCTCCACCTCGTCTATCCGCATGGAGAAGTTCTTCACGAACTCGTAGATGTCGTCCATCAGCCCCAGGGGCAGGTCCTGTGCGGGAGGAGAGGGAGGTCTGCCCGTGCACGGCCGGTGGCACCAGGGAAGCGGGCAGGGAGGCACCGGCGGGGCCGTTACCCACCCAAGGACACACAGACAGCCCAC